AAGCTGCCAATACTGGCTACAAACCGTCCAATCTGCATGGCATCCCTGGCTACCTGGGCCCGCGCGCAGGGCTGGGTCTTTCCCCCCTGCCCATGTGACCAGAGCATCGCCTCCCAGGCGCCAGGCTTTTGTCTGCAGACAAGGAGCGAGATCCCCGCCCTGAGGGATCAACAGCAGCCTCCCAGGCTGGCTGAGACAGATCTCTGGAGAGGGGCACCGACGGGGCATTTCTGCCACAGACGGTGCCTGGCAGGGCCAGGGAGGGAGGTGCAGCCAGAAGGGAGCATGAAGGAGGCACAGAGCAAGTTGGGACAAGGCTGGTGCCACAGGAGCCAGTGACTCCATCCCGCGGGAGGGGAGAGGGGCTGGGCAGAGCCTGGTGGGTGGAGGGCAGCGCTGAGAGCGTGCAACCCCCCTGCCAGTGCAGAGGCCTCTGAGGCTGGAGCAGCTGATAGACCTTCTCCCATCCCTTCCCAGTCTTGTGGGGGAGGACCAGTGCCCCGGGTCCCTCTGGGAGCTGAACCTGGGCACTGGGGTCTTGCGGCCCTGGGGCCATTTCACAGCCATTGTGATTTCCCCAGAGCTTTCTTGGCCACACGGACATCCCGTACTGGATCGGACTCAAGAAGACCTGGGACTCCAAGACCTTTGTGCAGAAGTGGCAGTGGGAGGATGGTACCACATACAGACGGTAAGCTGGCATTGAGCTCCTAGCCTAGAAAATCAGTGCACCCCATTCCGGAGAACCAGAACTTGGGTTGTGGGGAGCTCCTTGCAGCCCCACTGCAGCTCAGGCTCCCGTGCTATGTCGGAGGTGGTTGGGGGCCCTCACGCGGTGTCTGTCATTGCAGGCCTGAGAGCACGAAAACTTACGGTATATATGGAATAATAAAAGGGAGCAGCATAGAGATCACAGCACGGCACACAGAGAACCGCTGGATCTGCGAGCAGTCGACCAGCTGCCCTCAGGGAGCCACAAGGATGAACTCTGGGCCATGAATTTGGGAGTCTCCCATGAATACAAAAGCGCGTTCCCACAGCATCGCAGCATAAGGGACTCATGTCCCGTTTCCTCCTTGTCTGCTGGACCCTGCGTGCCCCCTCCCCGCATGGGACTGGGGGTGGCTCTGCCTCCCCTGCTCACCCTGCCTCTTCCCTTCAGCTCCAGTGGCTTCAGGGACCAGTTCCCACTTGCACCAGTATAATCCCCTCCCAGCAGCAAGGACTTAGCACCACTTGCTCCCTGAACCGCGCAGCAGAAAGCACCTAGCAAGAGCATTAGGGGATGTTCCTGGGACCCCCACGCTACACTGGGGCCTTGCTGCCAGACCCCATGGTCCTCATGCAGTCAGACAGGGCAGCATCTCCAAATTGCCCCCAGCACTGGTGGGGGTTATGAGGCTCAAGGTCCCCTGCTTTCCCAGCAGTGGGCTCAGCAGAGCAGTGATGTGGTACTGGCAGGCGCCTACCCATGGCCACCTGTGCACATGAGCTTGAGCGCTGTGCAACGCAGCTTCTGCCCTGCTTCCTGTCTGCCCCGTGGGGCTTGGCCACTGCACTGCTCTGTGCAGTAATTGTAGGTGTGGGGTGGTGTATGGTCTACGGTCTGCATGCATGATGCCTACACACGGGCCCTGGCAGCAGGGCAGGAGGGGAGCCTCTCATCCCACCCAGTGCCTGCCCCCACTGTCTGCTGCCTTCTGGTCCAGGCAAGCATGCACCAAACCCACAGTCCTGTGCCTGGAGCCCCCTCCCCACAGCAGCCCATGCAACTCCCAAGGTTGGCAGGTGGAGCCCCATTCCCTGATTCCAGCCAGGGGGATCCCAGCAGCCCTGGGGTTGCTCCCACCATGGTGCCGGGTGCTGGGCTGAGCACTGCCTCCAGACACCCCTACAGACCCGGGAGCTGGCCCTGTACTGTGTGACCCCCATCCTGTCCGCATGGCGGTTCATGCAGGGGACTTGTGCCCCAGGGTGCAGGGCAGGTGGGGCACAGCATGGGACAGGCAGGTTTATTGACTGAACAATAGAAAGAAGCCGGGATATATATTACAGCTCTCTGTGCTGCTCACAGTCATGGGCATATTATTAAAGCCCAGAGATTGCATTCACAACTGCATTGTGTGTGGGGGAGGGAGCACAGGGGCACCCCTGGGCCTCCTATTGCGAAGAGTACTCTCCCAGTACCTGCTGCATTACCAGGAACCCCCTCACCACCCCACGCCCTGGGCTGTACTCACTTCTTCTGCCATCCTTGGACAACAAGGCTGGAGAAGCAATGCAGAGGCCAGGAGCCTCTCATCTGTGCACACCCCTCCCAAGGCCCCAGGCAAAGGAGGGCAGGCCAACTGAACCCTCCTCCCCCACAAGACTTTCCCCCACCCCCAGCTCTAGTCTCCAGTGCAATCCAGGCCCCCGTGTGATGGCTTCCTAGCTGGTGAGTGAGGCATCCTGATGCTGGATGGGCAGAACATGCATCCCAGCCCATTGACTCGGAGGTGGGGTGTGGGGTCCTCCAGGAAGGGGCACAGCCCAGTGCCCTCAGCCTGGGGAAACCAGTGTCCATCCCCTCCTGTCCGGACATTGCTGAGACATCTGAGTTACTGCACCTGTGCCCATGGTCACAGGCATGGGGCACTTCCAGCACCTGCTGCACTCATCATGGGTACTGGATCATGGCATGGTCCTTCCCAGGTACCAGAGTTTGCTGGTGAGTGAGGGACAAGTTGCCAGCTCCCTGGCGTGTCCACCCCACTGGCCATGCCCCAGGCAGCACTACCTGCCAGGATGAGCTGAGTCCCATGCGTCACTTGCTGCATGGGGCTGCACCAGGGCTGTGGGTTAGGGAGGTGTCAGACCTGGGTCCTGGCAGGTCAGCATGGGCTCTGGCCCTAGCTGTGTCCATCTTGGCCAGGACTAGGACTGGGCCTCAGGGCAGTGGGTGGTGAGCGGCACCTGTGGGTGAGATGATGGGGACCAAGGATTCACAGGGCTCATCCACAGTGGGCTCAGGCATCACGGGGCCAGGACCAGACAGTGGTTCAACACAGGTGGGAGCAGGCATCACATCCACTGGGTGCAAGCAGAGATGTTCTGGGTCAGGCAGGTTAATGCCATGGCATCCCACACCCTCGCAGTCCCCTGTTGTCAAAGACCTGGCAAAATCATTGCATGTGTCTGCTGGAGACAGAGCTAAGGGAGCAGGGGAGGGTCAAGACTGCTTGGGCTGGGGAGACCAAAGAAAGCAGAGGACTACATAGACAATTTAAGGCAGAAGCTGTAAGAGGTGAGAGTGTGGAATACACCGAATGCAGGAGAGGTGCTATACGTGGGGGGCATGCTGTATGTGACTATGGTCAAGGCACCCCAGACAGAGGATGAGGTGCAGATTCACCTATAAAAGCCCAGGAAGAGAGGAGGCCTGTAAGGACTCCACTTCTACACCTCAGACGACCTGCGGATCCCCCCAGACTTTCTAAATCCTTGGCTGTAAAGAGACCCTCTGCCCTCAGGATTACATTAGACTCATGCAAGACTTTCTGTTGTCTTTTTGGTTTATTACATCACGTTTCAAACTATTGGGGTGAAACTCCGTTTCCACCATCCCCGTATGCCCCCTTGAGGAGGATTTTGCCAGGGTTAATACAGGCTTGCCTCTCATTGTTGAAAAGACTTCCACCCCTACAGGGGGACAAAATGGGCCAAGGACCACCCTCATTACCCAGCTCTTATCTGGACAAGAGATGATGGTCATTGCTAAAAATCTGGGACCCTTAAATGGGGATAATTTATGGGATTGGTTATATCCCCTACATCAGACACAGCAGTCAGATAAGCTGACACTCGGCGATGTGATAAAAATTGTGAAGGTGGCCTTGGGAGAAAATAGCTCCTTACTGTCTAAAAAGGTTGGTCAGGGTGAAGAGGAACTAATGGCATCCTGAGGGATGCTGTAGGGGTATTTGTGGGAAGTGATGGGATGCTGTCCATGGTAGCCAGGCATGTGCAGAAACCAGGTGAAGCTACAGTGATAATTACAACTAAGTTGTGGCTGGTCTTTCAGCTTGGGGGTCGATTTAACCACACCCCAGCAGGGGCAAGATATGAGGGATGCTAATCTATTCTTCAAACAGCTTCTGTTTGGAGCACGTGACAGGAAAAAAGAAGCAAGCTGTCACTGCTGTGTGACTCAGGATCAGACTCGGAGACGATTAATAATGCAATACTGCATATGCGTTGCAGTAATGAAGCCTATCAGAAATGGAAATGAAAAGTCTCAGCCATCACCTTTAGTAATAGCAGACCAAAGGGGACAGGACAGTCTGAGGGAGAAAAAAAGGAAGGCTTTCTGGGAGCCAACAGGAAGTCAGCATCCTGGAGAGTGCAAATCTGGTGCTGACTTATTAAATATGGAAAAGGATAAGAGAGGGATGGTCTGCCTACTGCAAAGTTATTACAACAATTACCCCACCATGAAGAAGGAGTAGGACCAGAACCTAATGTTCTGCCTCCAGAGTATTAGGACATCCTGGTGCCCACAAGCTCCCTTTTTCTAGCACTCAAAAATATGACAGCTGGGGACGTCCTCCAGTGGACGTACAGTTTGAAGGTGATATAAATGGTCGAGCACTGAGGCAAACAATGCTAATAGATGCAGGTATTTCTTTTTCAATTGTGAGTCTAGAGGAAGCAACATTCTCACATTGGAAGCAAGGAGGGGAAAAGTGGCTTGAAGGGTTTAATGGAAAAGAATCATTAGCTTTCTTCTCACAGGTAAAGTAGCTTGGAATAGGGACCCAGTGGGCCCAAGGCACATTTGGAATAATAAAATCAGGCCAGCAGGGAATACTGGACATAGCTTAAAATAATAATAATAAAAAAAATTACAGATAACCATGGATCTGAGTAATAATGCCATGCTTTGTCAGATGACATGTAACATGATAGATAAGCAACCCAATGTGGTTGTGGCAAAGCATAGATGCACTACTCTCAAAGCTAATGAAACTAAAGCATAATGACACTTGAATGGGAAAAAGATGTCCAAACCATAAGCAGTAAGTTCCCCCAGGTGTGGGGCTAATATGAAGTGGAAAGTGGAAGTGTCGAAGCCCAGGTGTTAACTGCTGGACCTGAACCCCACACCCCAAGAACAAGACAAACATCCAACTGGAGCTGAAACCAGCCTACTGGGAGCCATAAATGCTTTGCTAGAGCATGGGTGGTGGTAGGACAGCAGAGTACCAGCAATGCTCCCATCTGGCCTGTCAGAAAAGCAGATGGTAAAACCTGGAGCCTGATAGTGGATTATAGGGCCATCAATTAGGTCATTCCTGTGACAGCCCCAGTGGTAGCCAAGTACCCTCAAGTGATTAAAGCTGATATTTTTAACAGTTTCTTTGCCTCTGTTTTCCTGAATCCCACCTACCAGAGTTAGGGACAATCTTGGGGATAGCTCTATCAAGCATTTAGTCAGTTCAGATGTAGTTTGGGATCTTCTGGAAGAGCTGGACATTTTTAAATCTGAAGGTCCGGATGCCCTCCACCCAAGGGTGCTGAGGGAGCTGGCAGGGGTCATTGTGGAGCCTTTGGCCTGGCTAATGTGGTCCCTATTTTCAAGAAGGGGAGGAAGGAGTGTAAGGAGTGACCTAGAAACCACTATGCAAAGACCAAGCAAAAGAGAATGTTATGTGACGAATGCCCATCTGCAATGATAAGGAGGAGACAGTCTTAGATAAAGGAGGCTTGAAAACAAAATAAAAAACAGAGTACTGGGTTATAGGGCTCATTAAAATACTAAAAATCACGCCCCTAGGTGGGGAGAAAGTATGCTAATGAAACACACATGTATGTAAATGAGATACATGGCTAAAACACAGGTATAGAGACATGCTCAGTAAAGAACTCCTTGCGTCACTCCTTACAACCAGTCAGCAAACAAATACGCTGGTGAGAACTTGAAAACTCCTGTATAAAAGATGCTTAGTGGTAGTGATCTGGTGTGCTTGTTACGTGTATTTTAATCCGCTTGCACCTTTATTGCTAGCAATAAACTTTCTTTGTACTTTCACCCCGGTATCTTTATTGGCCTTTGCATACCGGGCACGATACCAGACTTGAGCTGGGGCTCAACATTCTGATGGACAATCTCTCCTGATGCCCCCTTATTCTTCTACAAATTCATTTGAAGAAATGAATGAATAT